AATATTCTTGTCCTTGAGTCTAAATGTTGGAGTCATTAGGACAGGTGTTAGGGTCGAAGATCTCATAGGACAATTTGGCTCATTTGTAAATGATGGGAATATGTGAACAAACCAGGCAACATTTTCTTATGTTTTGTTTGTATATTTATCATAAAGCCCTTCAGAGTGGCATTACGCAGGAATCAGTGATGAAAATTATCTCCTACTTTTCTACAAGATGTCTAGGGCACAGAGACTCTTTTTTTTGTAAAGGTAATTATCCATGTCTGTTCTCTCATAGCCATGATTTCCAAAGAAGGTTATTTTATACTTCCAAATTGAATGGTGGTCGTCTTCTTAATGCACTCTGTGATGCTGTGGTTTTCCTTCACTGGAGAAATGTTTATTGTATTCTTCCAGCAATTCTTATCAGACTTCGTTATTTTAGCAAGAAACAGTTTTTTCAGCTATTAGTATAAACTATAAATTACTCAGAATTTCTCATGAGAATTGTGGGTTATGAAGATAATGTAGCAATTATTATTCATGTTGCTAACGGTATCATTTTGATAAAAAAATCGAACCAAATTTTCACCCTATATGTTTATTGGATTGATTGATACTTCTGCTAATTGTGTCTCTTGCATCAATTATTTATTCTGAACAGTTATTTTTGGCACAGCATCATTATGCGAAAGTATAGATTGGGCATTCTTTACTATTTGCAGGATTAGCTGAGTTGTTACTAGGGAGACTACCTGTGGAATGAAGAAACCAGATTTGGCCAAAAATTCTGACCTACTATTTCTAAGAAGTCTGCTTAAAGATGCAGTTAAATCTCAGTATTATTCTAATGTAATTTATTTGTCCTATTTCATTTTTTCTCATTTACCTTGTTTAATACATATTTTGAAAAGCCTGAAAGAAGAGGGCTGTACCTTAGAGTATAACTCTTGGTTAAGGACAGAAAATTCATTAATTTTTGACTACTGTACAAGCACTTGTGTACATAATTGTTCTCACTTGTGCTTATTCTGGTTGGATTTTTAGTATTGTCTGGTATGTGTAATCCCAAGGCAATTTCAGATGAGACATTGAACAAAAATTTTCTGGAAGGAAATTGCCAATTTTTTAAAATCAATCCACTATTAAACAGAGTTAGTACTGTTCTTGTTAATGCATCTGTTAATTTCAAAATGGTTAGCCATCAATTCCTCTGAGATCAATCAAATGGTAAATCAATTGACATCAGTGACATCTTGTCTGCATCTGGGGCCCACATGACTAGTAAACAATACTTTACTCATTTAGGATCCAATTTTGATGTCTTACAAATATCTGACCAATTCTGTGATTTTTCCAGATGCTTTAAAATTGGCTGCTAGACTGTTGTTTAAAAAAAAAAAAAAAAATCCCATGTCTTTCTCCAGATGAACTGCTATTTTGACAGCATTCCAATTTTTTAAATTTTTTTTTTCTAGTTTCTGAAAAAAATTGTGAAACAATTGCAGATGTATTTTGTTTCAAATGAGGTATCTACAGCAGAGAGAAAATTTCAAATAACTCAGTTTTTAGTGAAGGACTACAGAAGGCTACAGAAACTGGTTTGAATATTGTTCTTACACTGTTAAATCTTTTAGATATAAATGTGCCCAAACTGCCATTCCTTGAGAAGAAAACATAAAAATCTTATGAATTATACAGTAAGCAAGCAGATTTGGAAGTTACATAAGAGATGGAGTGATTTAACTATATACCATGTCTTGTCCTTGAAATCAGACCTTTGACTGAGGTTTTCTGCCACAGAAATTCTTACACTTTTTTTTTTTTTTATTAGATAAGGATGGTAGATGCAACAGTGAATGGCTTTGTTTGTCAAAATCTACCATCATTTTTGGTTTTAGAAGTAAAACGTGATTATGAGACATAATCTCATTTGCTGACTAAGTCCAATTATCAAGTGAAGACTGAAGATCTTTAGTGCCTTTCTCTAGGCGTAGTTAGATCCACCATTAGATCCCTCATTCATCTTTAAATAATCAGTTGATTGTGTCCTATCTTGAGTCTGTCCTTTAGAAGTTCAGGAGAGTATTTTACTGCCTTATTTTTCACCAGTAGCATGGACAGCTTGATTTATAGAATAAGAGATTGTTTAGATTCCAGATTATAAAGAATGCAGCTCTCAGGATTCCTGGAAGTCTTCCTGAAGGCTTGAAACATGTTTGTCTGAGACTTTTCACAGGCTCCCAGTGAAATTCCTCAGCTGGTATAAAATCATATTGTTGGTTTGGTTTTGTTTTTTTTTAATTGAAGCATGTTAGGTGGCTGTCCAAGCATACCCTATCTTACAAACCCCTTAGTGCATTTTTACCAGCTTGGGTGGATAAACAATTACTATAATTCGAGTCCAACTGTCTAGTGTGAGAAATTCCACATTAAGAAAAAAAGTATATCTATGAACATATTAATGGTTCAATAGGTGCTCAGGGGCAGAAGGCATCATCTCTCCCTAAAAAGAATAATTTAAGCATGGGAATACCCTTATATCTTGTAGCCAAAAACAGAGAGAAATTAAGTGGCTGTGAAGTGATAGAGCTTGAAACAAATTTAAAAAAAAAAAAAAAATCTGGCTACATCTAATAAGAGATTCACCTGAAATCATCTTTCTTCTTCAGACTATTCCTCCTCCTCTTCCTTTTTCAACAACAAGCATAGACAGGACAGGCAGGACTTTCTGTGTTTACTCTAGGAGAATACATGCTGTTTCCTGTGGTGTCCCAACTATAGGTAGAACAGTGCGAGGTTACACCAGCATACCTATGGTCCACACACACCCACTGGGAAATGTTCTGCAAAGGAAAAAGTACGCTCAGAATTAAAATCATACTACTGCAAAGGAAATGAGAAAAATGTATATAGTTAAATTGTTTCGTCACTGTCTTTGCATTATTCCTTACAGTCTTGTTGCATAAAAGAAATTTGACATTTTTAGGCAACTCCTACTTCTTTTTAAGCATATGGATTATAAGCCTATTGGAAAGTAAAATGTGTAAAAATCAGTTACATGTGAGTGAATATTCTATATATCCTTTTTTTTTTTCCTGTATGGAATTATGGACCATGGTTCTGAAATTCATTTCCATTTTCAGTAATGCCACCAACACAGGCGAACTTCCGTGGGTTAATTCCCATGAATACATGTCTACATATGCACACAGGATATTCTAGGAGCAGGTATTTCTATAAACTGTCAAGTTGCAATAACTTCTGTGTCCCGAGTGCCTTCTCCTAAAGCTGTGGCCTGTGGAAGCTAAAATTTGTCACCTGAAAACCTAAAACAATGCATCTTGAACGCAAAAGAAAGTGGTCAGTTTTAAGTAGAGTATCACATGTATTCAGTAGTTGTTACCTAATAGCTTGATCTCAGCTCACTAGACAAGCAGAATTGTATTTCCATGTTAAAGCACCATAAAACGCTGATTACGCAAGTGTTTCCAAAAACGTATTCTTTTGACAAAACAAGTTCTGTAAGATGTGAAACAATATGGGCGGGGTGCAAATCCACACAATATTTGTGTACCTCAGAGAGAAGAGTGAGGTTTTTCTGTGTCTTTCACTGTCCTTTCAGGGGGATTAAGAGGAGAGCAAGGTATTTCTGCATGTTTGTTGTCAATCTGTGTCTGCCTCCTAAAGAATGTCTCATTGAAAATTTTAGTAACTCAACTAAGTGTCAGAGTGTAGAGTCAGTCCATGTGATTGCAATGTCCCACTCAGCCCAGAAAGTGACCCTCTCACAATCACACGTGGGTTGACCTTCTCCATACTCCTGTGACTGTTGCCTTGATGTAGTTTCTGCCTACAAGTGGAGGAAACAGAGGCCAAGTATCATACCTCAAAGATTCTTTAAGTGACAGGAATAAGTTACAAATTACTTGTCTGCTGTAAGTTACTTGTCATATAAAGAAGTGACTTCTTGGTCTGAGATACTAGAGTGTGTGTTAAGGACTGAAGCAGAATTTCACGGGTTTTCAATGACTGCCTGGTTGTGGACAGTGTAGACAGCCAGTGCTGTCTCTGCTAAACTTCATTCTGGTCTACCTCCATCATTACAACTGAGTGGAGTTGTGCCAGTGTGTGCAATAAGGGCAGATAATGATACTCTGAGAATGATACTGAGTGACTAGTGCTCTGCAATGCAATACTTTTTTCCTCTTCATTCTTTAGGGGCTCAGTTTATCATTCTCTCTAATAAACTGCATTTTTTAAATGGAATACTGTTGATCTTGCAGATCAGATCATCTTCTAAAAAAATAAATTCCCCTTGGGGTGAATCTAAGAGAAACAAGAAAACTATAATCCCTAAAGATTTGCTTTAGTCCTACAAGACAAATGGTTACTAATGTCATAGCGAGAATGCAAATGGCATCTTCTTTCATATTCTCAGTGGACAGGTTATTAGGAATCCCTTACAGGAATATACGTCTGTGCAATCAGGCACTTATTTTGTAACTGTTCACATTCAGTGCTGGATGTCTGGTCTTCTTGAAGAATACATGTAGACCCTCAGTGACAAATGAGTAACAACAAGGGCACCTGAAATAGCTTCAGTAGGAGCTGAAAGTCTGAAGGAGTTGCCAGCTTGAGCATGCAGTTAGCACGTTTTTGTAAAGCACTTTGGCAAGCAAACATTTTGCTTTTTTTTCCTTTGCACTGGTCAAGATAGATAACATACAGTAGTTGCTGGTCATACAAATTGTTTTTGTGTGAAATGTACTCTGTCTTCCCATGTTTATATAAGAGAATATTGTCATATATTGTTATAGTCTGCTTAATGCAAACCCCCAGCTGTATAAATAATTTCCTGTAGTAATTCTATATAATTAGGACAGGTTATATGAGTGAAGCAAAGGAAAGGAGGAAAGAGAAATGAGGGGAGTGTTCGTTTGCTTACATGACCTTGTATCTCTAAATTCTGATAAAATATGTCTGGTCTGTAACTTTGTCTTTCCCCTTTTTCATAGTCCATTTCTGACCTGGAGAGACATACAGCATATTATTGTCAGGACTTCACGTGCAGGACATCTGAATGCTAACGACTGGAAAACCAATGCGGCTGGTTATAAGGGTGAGAGCTTTGTTTCCTCTTTGCCATCAGAGGCAACTTCTTATTTGATATTTTTGAAGAAGAAATAATCTCAAGTATTCTTTTTGACCCCATGTTGTGCCTAGTCTTGAGACCTTTCAGGCTCAAACTGAAGGGGCCTATCTTCTCTATTATAAGGAAAACCCCTTAAGATAACTAAGCCCAAAAAAGGCAGCTACAAAATGCATTTGCTAGATCTTCTTCGTTCCTTTCAGTGCTATTTCATGCACTGTTTGCAGAAAACTAAATAAATTAGTGTGGTTTAATTTTTCCTGGTATAGCTAGTATTCTGATAAAATAGACTAGAGCTGAAGATACAGCAATTTCTGGACTCAGACTATGTTCTCATTTAGATTTTTTGTAATTTTGGTTAAAAATGACAGAACAATAGTTTCAAATTTCTGTTTTATATATTTTAACCTACATTATTTAAGATTTTTATCATATTTAGAATAAAACCAAATCTTGAGCTAGTGGGACAGAAATCATACTATTCAGTCAACTGTCCTATAGGTTACTAGAATTTTGTTCAGTCTTCTAATTTTGTATTAAAGCTACATATTTCAAACTTTTTTTTTTCTCTTTTGTAATGCAAGTAGAGTTAAACATTTGTGCCATTAAATAAGATAGGTATTTTCAGGATAGGTTAAAACTGAACATTGATTCCATACAACATTGTATTTCAACACAGATTTGCTTCTGATTCTCACCCACTAAATTCTTACTGCTTTCAGTTTGAATTGCATCTAAAAAAAACCCCAACAACCTAGAATAGCTTGATTGTGGTTCTCTTTTCATGAGAATTCCATCCAAGAGTGCAATATTTATGTTAACATGAGATTTGAACTGTTTCATACTAGTATCTGCTGAGAGAAGAATATAGTATATAATAACCTAAGAACCATCAAATCTTTATCCTGATTCCGCTTTTAAGCTAAAGGCCAGCTTTAATCTATTTCAGATTAAAGCATTGCTACCTTAGAGCATCTTTAATATATCATTCTGACCTATGACAATTCTGCTGCAATAGAATAGAAACCAAATGAAAAAAAAAAAAAAAACAAAAAAAAAAACCTTCTGGTTTTGGATCCCAAAAGATAGATTTAGAAATGAGTATTTGACTCGAATCCCCTCATTACATGAAGGTGCTGACATTAAAGTGCCTGGTTTTTTTCCCATGCCCACACACAAAACATACATAGTAAGAAATAGATACTTCCTTAATTGCAGTAACATTAGAGTATTTGTTATTGTGAAACATTTCCCAGGATTTAAAAAGTTTTGGCCAGAGGTCGTGACTGTGTTTGAGCTATGTGAAGTTCAAACGATGCTTTTCAAGTAGCATAAAGTAGAGTGTTTTTTTTTCTGTAACACATTCCCAAAATTGTGTATTTTTACATTTTTTCCATTTGTTACCCAGGAAAGACAAACACGCTGTGATGCATTTCCCAGCAACTGTCATATCATTATCAAAGGAGAGGTCACACTAACACACCAGCACTAACAGCACTGGCAGCAGGACTTGCAGTGTTCCACCACTGGAGCCTGGTTATTCTGAATCTTTGGAGCCACACATTTTTCTGTACATTGTAGCAGATAAATAGTGAGAAAAAGGGACAGATAAAGGCTTCTCCTCCACTTGTGCAAAGACACGAACATAGGTAAGCTCAGCTGGGGAACTGGTATTCAGGAAATGCAACTGCAGAGCTCTGCTGTAGACTCCATGATGGAACTAAAA